TCTAGAACACTCGCAGGTATTCACTCACTCTCTCTTTCAGTGACTTAAACAGAGCCTCTTACACAATTACCAATTTGCATATACCATGCACATTACATTGTCAAACTTCCCAGTGAAAAGAATGAACCTGCCAACCTTACAGAACAACATATCAGTCACCCCGGTAATGCAGATGGATAAGGTGCTCCAACAGTTGCCAGGAAGTTTCCTTTGGTGTCTGGAATGGCCATGCAAACCAGGAATTTGATTCCCCAGCGAGAGGCTGAGTAGTTAAGAGTCACTGAAGATCCTTCCAAAACTATTAATTAGCACAGCTCTGTCTGCACCTTGGAACACACAACGAGAATTCATCAGAACTGAGACAGGGGTCTGGAAGCTCCTGTATTTTGTGGGTGAAACAGAGCAGCCAATTGCACACAGCAGTGTTCCACAAACAGCCATGGATTGAGTGACCAAAGTCAAAATGGTGTCACAAACAGTGCACGAGCAAGTAAAATTTCAGTATTTTTTTAAGAGAGAACACGGCTTGTCATTATTCCTCCTTTGCCTGCAAGATAAGACAGTCAAAGAGACAATCTATTAAAAGCATGGAATAGTTTGTAGGACATCATTGTAAATCTAAAAGGTAACAAATTTAAATGGACAGTTACTAACTGCAAAGGTTGGCCAAAGTTACAACCTCTGTGTAACAAGTTCCTAAGCCTGAGATGCCTATGCACATTTTAATTCCAACCAATCCTGTGATATATTAGTGGCCCCGGTACAGCATGTTCTGAATTCAGTTTACTCTCACAATAATGTACATAATGTTTCTTGAATTTCTTGCAATTATGTGCTCTGTCTGTCCTATATTCAGACAAACAGTCCCCCTTGATTGATGTATGGTGCTGGAGGTGTCTTGAATGCAGCTTCTTCTTGTTTCGATGTGCGTATTGAATTAAGCCGTGTCAATTTTATATATTTGATGGAGCCAGAATTCAGACGCTCAATTGCTAGACTAATGTATCTGGGGCACACAGAAAGCAGGTAACCTGTGCACAGCCACAGATCTCAAGGGAAAAATTCCAGGTCAATGACCAATCACAAATGACTTTGAACACAAGTTGCCGGCTTCTTTCTAAAATATATTGCATCCAGTTACACAAATACTGTATACTTACACATCCGTTACCAAGTAGCTAACACTATAACACAGATACATCACTAGTTTCCACACAGTCAATTCCTCCCAGAGTAGACTTTTTCCTGATAATGTCCCACAAACAGCCAGGAGGTGAATGATCAATTACCTAGAGGACTGTTGGCCAACAACAATAATAAATTACATTTATACAGCACCTTTCACGTCAGGAGGACGTGCCAAGGCACTGGACAGTTAGGGACCCACACCCGAGCTGGGGTTGGGATCAGGAGGGGTGGAGGGAGGGGCGGGTAGGAGGGTGACTGAAAGCATGGTCGAAGAGGAGGGTCTTGAGATGGATCTTGACGGAGGGAAGGAAGGTGGCGAGACGGAGGGAGTGTGGGATGGAGTTCCAGAGGGTGGGAGAAGAGTGACTAAAGGCCCGCAAGTCAATGGTGGGGCGGGCAACACGGGGGACATGAAGCAGGCTGGATCCCGCTGAGCGGAGGGAGCAGTCAGGTTGGTAGGAGGTTAGGAGGTCGCAGAGGTAGGGGGGGGAGCGAGCCTATGGAGGTGAGGACCAGGATCTTGAAACATCCTCTGTGTGATGGGAAGCCAGTGGAGTCTGGCAAGCATGGAGGTCACAGAGCCTGGTGCAGGAGAGGACACAGGTTGCAGAGTTCTGGATGATCTGCAGCCTGTGGAGGGAGGAGTTGTGGAGGCCGACAAGCAGGGAGTTTGCATAGTTGAGCCTGGATGTGATGAACATGTGGATGAGGAAGCCTTCGGTGAAAGACCGGTGGCGGAGCCGGGCAAAGTTGACAAGGTTGGGAAAGGCGGAACTGGTCATGGATAATGTAGCCAGGCTGGGAACTTCTGGAATCGCTTTAATGCATTAAAATGTTTGTGCTTACGAATACCTTTCCATTTATTTTTGCCAGCAATTATAGCATTTCCACTGGTGATTGATAGGTACAAATGCCAGAGTTGGACATAACAGTGAAAACACTGCAACCTTTGTTTAGAAATGACAACTACACTGGATCAGCCTTGTATTTACAGACAGATGGGAATTCCATCTCTAGAGCACAAACCCAAATGAAAAATGGCTCACGTGCCAGTAAGAAGATAAACTATTCCACACAATTTTCTTTTAAGAAAAAAAACTGCTGCTACTATTGAGCATTCTTAAAAGTACACTTTTAAATATTTTTTCTACAATATACAATATTCTCCTAATGCAATAATACAATTTCTACAATATACAGGACAGGTTATATCACAATGATTCGGGTCCATAAGCTCAGAAATCACGTTAAAAAAAGGCCACCTTCTGGTTTGATATTCCTTTAATGTGCATACACACATGACGTTTTATTTGCAGTGACCTGACAACCCAGGTGACCATGTTTAGCATGGAAAGCCAGACAATATGCACCAGAAGTTGGAAGTGTTGTGCACTTGCAGTAACCACAGGACATCAGCATTATGAGGGACCTAACAACCTAGTGAGATGCACAAAAATAGCATCACCCATTACAGTACCTTGTCTACCATTACTCAGGAAATGCTACTTTATAATGAACATTTTAATTTTAAAATGTTGGTCAGCCGGGAGTCTGACACATGCGGAAACCCATCTCAATGCTTAAAGGGATCCAAACCACAGGTTGGTCTCCTATTCATCATTATTATGTGTGCGGAGGAGGGGCAATGAAATATTTTATAAATGTTATGCTCTGGGCAGCAGAAAAGGTTAGAAAAAGATACCCAGAAGAAGAATGTCCTCATCCAAGCCTTGATATCTGATGACAAAACATCAGTGGACCTGGAGTCGCAGCTGAAGGAGAAGTAAATGTGGAAGTTTACCCATGTCTGCAAATGGCATCACCAAGAGGGAGTATGTAGATACGGAAAAGAAGTGAGATGAGGATGAAGAAAAGAGATCCTTCACCCAGGATCTCAAATACAGAAGTTACCACAGCATTCTCGCACAGATATACCGTCTATGCAAGCTATATTCTTATATGTCAGAGAATGACTGCAGAATGAGACTGCCCAAAGGTTAAACAATTAATTAATGACGTAATGTAAAAATTTCAGGAAATTGCATATACAAAAAGTTTACTGTATGCAAGGGTAGTAGTGCAACTCTCCCTGCAGATAACCTCATCAGATTCTATCCTATAACACTGTAAAGGTGATGAAATGGTTAAAGCAAATATAATTAACAAATTGAGCAACCTTTCAGAGCATTATGAAAATGCCGTAATCTCATTCTTTATGTTTGACTGAAATAAAGGTCAAGTAATAAGTTAGCAATAATGAGATAATAAGTGAAAATGTAGTTTATGCATCATTGATTCTAATTTATATAGTGCTGTCTTTATGACACACATATATCAAATAAATTATAGCTTTCTCACCACAGTTTCATATAATCAAGTACTCATTCCTATCATTTATCAGATTCTGGATTTTACCCCCTGCACTGCTATAGTGATCTATTATAATCCCAAGCACAGTGGTCTGGTAAGGCCATACTGCATACTACATAATAATAATAATAATCCTTGCATTTGTTATAGCGCTTTTCACGTCGGGAGGAAGTTCCAAAGCGCTTCACAGAACACACTGTAAAGTGAATTGACTGTATATTTGTGGGCGAACGCGGCAACAATGTCCCACAAACAGTCGTAGATTGAAAATGACCCATTTATTATTGTTTGTGGTTTTGGAGGGATTATTATTAGGCTCTGTGTGGAGTAAGGAAACTTGCCCAAGGTTTCGCCCTCTGCCTGGAATTGAACTTAGGTCTCTCACTTGCAAAGCGGGTGCTCTAACTACTGAGCTACAGGACTCCACATACATCATAATGGTCCTTGAATTTGATACTGTGGAGTGTGGAGTCCCCAAGCCTTCAATTTGCCAACCAATACTGTATGAAATGAGATGAGCGGGGTGTGTTCCTCAGGGGAGAGAGCACACATTCCGGTTTGTGGAGTCCTGTAGCTCAGTGATTAGAGCACATGCCTCGCAAGGAAGAGGACCTGGGTTCGATTCCCAGCAGAGCGAAACGTTTCCTTACTTCACTTGCCTCTGTTTACCTAGCAGTAAGTACGAACCTGGTTGTTAGTCGATTGGAGGATAGCTTTTCCGGGTGTAATAATTCCTTTAAAAAAAATTGGTCACTCAATCCACGACTGTTTGTGTATGGGTGGGATGAGTGGAACGCTCAGTCTGGTTTGGATAGTGTTAAGCATGGTGCTTTATTTCCACATGTGTCAGACACTTGGCTGACAAATAGAGCAAAACATAAATATAAATTGTATTGTAATATTGTGAGATTTTTTTTAAAAAAGCAGTTTCAATTTTTCAAGGTGATCAATTTTCTCAATTTTTGAATAACAACAAAAAAAATAACAACCGTAGCAGAACAACATGGTTTTAAACTTGCATCATCAAGTCCTGTAGTCCTGTAGCTCAGTGGTTAGAGCACTCGCTTTGCAAGTGAGAGACCTGGGTTCAATTCCAGGCAGAGGGTGAAACCTTGGGCAAGTTTCCTTACTCCACACAGAGCCTAATAATAATCCCTCCAAAACAAAACAATAATAAATTGGTCATTTTCAATCTACAACTGTTTGTGGGACATCGCTGTGCGCAATTGGCTGCCGCGTTCGCCCACAAATGTACAGTCAATTCACTTTACAGTGTGTTCTGTGAAGCGCTTTGGGACGTACTCCCGACATGAAAAGCACAATATCAAATGCAAGGATTATTATTATTAGTATCAACATGTACTTCAATTTTAGCAGATTAAAGCAGCCACAATGTTATTACTGGTGAATGTGAAAGGAATATTGACAGATTGGTTCCTCACCTCATTGAAGAGCACTTTGGCTGGTTGGCCTGGGGCAGACTTCAAGGGTCGGGCAGAACTCTTCAATGTTCTGCCAAAGAAATGGGAGTAGCTTGTATCAAAGAGGTTCAGTCGCAGCTGATAATTGACATCTACCATCCCCTCCACCAATGTCTGCACAGAAAAGAAAGAAAGCTGAGAACAAATACTAGATAACTAATATAACTCAGATTCAATGTTAGTTCTGCCTTTACACTACTATCCTTTAAACAGATTTAACTAAATTCATAAAAGAAAATATTAAATTATTCCCAATCTTAACTTGTAAATTTCATCCTTTAAACAGCAATTTGCACGTGTAAATTCAAATTGCAAGTGTAAATTCAAATTTCAAATAACCCTAAGTCTCAGCTTTAAGCTATGGGTCAGTGGGATATGAACACATTTGTACAAAAACTACTAACGGGGTCAGTGGAAACCTGAACAGAATATTTGTAAATCTGCAGATATTTTGTGTGGAAATTTATGGAGCAAATTTTCTGCCCCAATTTCAATCCCATAAAAATTGATACAACACAAGTTAACAATCATACATGAAAACTTTTTTTTAATGATTTATTCATTCAACAAACTTTGTTATCAAGAATCAAATTTACCACTATAATCTCACTTAGTGCGACAATTCTCCTTGTGAAACTTGAAAATCTTCAGATTGGCACTGACTTTGGTTAGATTCTTGAAGTAGGAGCTGGTCCAAGTAAAGGCCTCCAAAGGGAGTGCAGAAAGCAAAATTCAATCAGGCAAGTAATCAGGCTGGAAGGCAAATCAAGCTGGACTATCTTCAAACACCTCTCAGTAGTCAATTGAACAGCACTGATGGGGAGAAGGTAACAGCCAGTTGCTCACCAAGCCACAGAATGGGGACAGAACAATAAAATTGGAGACCAAGTTCAACCACTTTCACCATTTAGAAACTGGCTCATTATTTTTTACTTAAAAAATGTCCGGGTGGATCTCCCATTGTCCTTTTGCAATGGGTGTTGGGTTGGTGGCTAAGAAGCAGCTGCTGTCCGCAACTTGAACCAGAGCCAAGAATGTAAGTGCTTGCGTAGTTAAGGAAAAAAATTGCATTATTTTTGTTTCCTACCTGCTGTCATTCTGATGAAGCTATTTTTATACCAGATTGCTAATATATTGCTGCATGCCCAGAAAGAACTCCTAAAGAGCAAGTCATTGTGATGCAGATTTATTTGTTTTTGAAAGCTTGCAACTTGTAAGCTTCAGCTATTCAGCAGAAATGTCATCAACCTGCAGAAACCCGCAGGCTGTGCAACTGCGGATGTCGACTAGCTGCTTGTGAACTGTCATTTTAATTATAAATCAATCATATTAAGAACAGCAACCACCCTGATTACATTATTAGATGCTTTGAGAATATAGTAAATCATAAACGTTAAACCATTTGAGCACTGGAGCCTTACCATGGCTTCATTACCTTGAGGTTAGCTTTCTCCTATGTTCTCACTGACCTTCCTGGTTCCACTCTTTATAATCTTCACCTCATCCATTGCTAAGCTGTCTTAGTATCTATCCCTCAGTGGATCGTTTCAAGATTCTCATCTGACATTCACTCCACAACCTTGCTCTACCCTCTCTGTGTAATTTTCTCTAGTCCTACGTCCAGCTGCACTCTCCACTCTTTTGATTAATTTACTGTTTGTTTCCACCAGTTCATTTGCTCCGCTATAGGGTGCCAAACCTTTGACCACCATATCTCTCCTCAGGAACTCTTCCAAAAACGCTTCACCTTGCTACCTCTCACCCTGCTTTCAAAACACAAGCCATCGATTTCTTTAATCATCAATGTTAAATTCTTTAAATCTTTTCTCAGTCTCTGCTGGCTCCATTATTAAGTGATTTCAAACATTCTTTGAACACAAAGAGCAATATTTAATTGCATGTTTTTATTGAACCATAAGTCGTCTACAGTTCAAATTCAGGCTTTGTCTGATCTTGTTATAATGAATTCTGTCTTCAGATTATTTTGTTCATGGTGATGTAAACTTGTCTTAAATTAGAGAGTTCAATATTAATAAGGGTCTGGTTTACGGTATTTGCAACAAACAATTTCATCATTTTTTGTTTCATTTAAAATTAATTTGGATGTCTTGCTTTGTTTGCTACGACACACTCCCCCCCCCCCCCCACCCAAACAGGTCTCTCACAGAACCAAAACTGAGGCCTTGCAGAGGAACAGACCAATTTCCAGGAGACCTGAGTGTTAGAATAATCTCATGTACACAGATTCGCTATCACACAAAATGACCCATTCTAATCAACAAGTGGGTTACCGGAAATGACTGTACAAGGCTATTCCTATCTAACTGTTAGTTTTGCATCTTATCAATGGCACATAGTCTTAAAATTCTTCGCCAGCAATTTCCAAATTATAATGCGAAACTGGTAATTGTGTAACAGTGAACGCAAGAAAATGGTTTACAAAGTGCAATGGTGGTGTCTGCTGGAGAACATGGGTACTGCACAAACAAACAATCACTTCAGAACATCAGTGACAACGTTTTGCAGAGATACGATATTTGGAATCCATGAGACTATAGATTTTTAATTTCACCTTCTCCAAATTGAAGCATCCAAGAAGATGGAGAAGTCTCCAGTTTGATACTCACAAGAAACATTTGTAGAGCAGCGCAATTTCTAACTGAAGACATTGAAAGCTGAAAGCCACTCAGAAGAATGCAAATAAAAACACTAGAATTCATTCAGTCTTAATTATACAGCATCATGCAAATTAGTACACTGTTCAAATATAATGTGGGACACAGGGTATGGAAGAATTACTTGGCAGTACAAAGTTATGACATTATCTTTAAGTTGTTGCATATTTTGGCTGTTGAGCTTTGAGATCCAAAGTCAGTCCTCTTGAAAGCACTCGTCAAAGAAAGCTTCAAAGAAAAATCTTTCATGTTTGGCAGGGATGGAAACTATAGAGTTTAGGGATTTTGTGCCTTTCTATCAGAGAAAATGTTATTGCATTTGAAAGGTACCATTATACAGACGAGCACGACAAAAGGCAGATTCTCAGTTATTCGCAACATAATTCATTCATTTCTTGTATATCTGGGTTAGAAGTGACAAGCGCACAAATTTATTATTTTAGAAAATAAAATGGTAAAAATTTCAGTTTTTAAAGTAGATAAATACTGTCAGTTACACCAAGTCAGCAGGGCAAAAGGGTACGTTTTACAAGACACAAGGAAGTTTTTTATTATACAGAGGGTAAGTCATGCTGGAAGGGTGGTCCCAGAGATAGTGTTATAATATTGAAGAAATAGCTTGTTGCTGCAATGAGGCAGACAGTAGGTTGGAATTAAATCAAATGGATTGAAAGGCCTTCTTTATCCAAACCTTTCTTGTGATCTTTAAAATCAGATTCAGTTCACAGAGCTTTTTCATTCTGTGCGCCCCCCAACACTTCAGAACAGTCTACAAAACTAATTCATTTATGGACACTCAAAAAAAATGTTTTACAAGATTCTTTTTTCTCAGTGGTCATCAACTCAGGGAATAGCATTGCTGGGAAAAGGTCAATAACAAAGTTGCAGAAGTAGTCTGGTTCAAACTGAAACATATTCCATTTCAGATTTAAAATGTCAGAACTCGGACTATAAATGAGAATTTTGAGACTTCAGTCAAAACGTAAGGGGAATTTCTATAGAACATTATTATCTTTACACTACAGGCCATACCACAAATAGGAAAATGAAATGTGACAGATGAAGAGAATCTTGTAATGCCCTTATTCTCACTATTCCTTTTCTGCGTAGTTATGGTAAAGAATCCCACTCCTCTGCTCTCCCCCCACAGTATTTGTCCTCCCCCATCTATGATAATTACACCCTTAGATACTGTACTAATATGCTTCTTTTTTAGCGATTTCACATGAAACATAAAGTACTGACCTGTACTTTGCTATTCCGCCACAGACCCTGTAATTGGCTGAATACAAGACGGTACGGTATAGACTTCTGGCCCCGGGTCAGTAATTCATATTTAGGATTAGCTGGTAGAAAAAGACGCCTCTTCAGCAACTTCTGGAAATGTTTCAACCTCTGTGCTGTTTTTCTATACAGGCCAAGGAATCCAACAGCATCCAGGTGTATGTGTGGGAGCAATTCATCCTCCAAGTTAAATCTCACATAAGAATTCTTTGCAGCGCTGGGTAAGGCAAGAATAGCTTTATCCATCTTTCCCCACTTCCGAAGGTTCTACAGTCCACTGAAGCTCTTTTGGTTAGTTGTGATATAATTTCACTATTTCAGTAAGGGTCTCATTCACTGCTGAAGATCAGCACATTGATTAAAGAACAAATCCAATATCTACTTAACAATAGGGTTGGTAAGTGCCTTAAACCTAACAGTCCATTTTCTAATACTCAAATATAAATAAGGAAGTGAAATAATTCTCCAGAAGCTGACTGACCTACAGTAGAAAAGTAGAAAAAGTAGAAATCCGAGGTTTGAGCAGGAAATATAGACAATATTGTTTTGTTAATGTTCAGCTCAACTTCAAAATTATTAGTCTTGTGGTTCTCTGTACTTCACAAATTCAATACCTATGTTTCCTGAACTACTCTGTGAAGCAAATAGGTTGCAGTGAGTATGTTTGTTCTGTGCTTGGGCAACCAACTAGTCCCTTGTCATTTCATCCAATTAAACTTCAAGCATTTGCAGAGTCAGCTGGTGCATAACAATATTTATACCGTGCAAAGATAAAACTTGGCGATACCACACTTTCTTCCAGATAAAAACAAACTTCAGAAAAGTTCCTGAAACTGCAAGAGACTGATAAGTCTATTCGGAGCACAGGCTATTGGGCAGCTTAATCTGTCAGGCTCCAACAGTTCGGCAAAATCAAAAACAACCACTGTATTTACTTCAAAGCACGACTTGAAAACAGTGTTGCTACAGAAAAGAAACATCGACTTAAGTAATCCATTGTGTAATTACCGAGTTGCCATGCCTGCTTCTACAAGTGAATGAAATTCAATTAATATTTAGTAATGGAAAAGAGCCGTGGCCAGTCTCATCAGTCAGTCATTGGACAAACATTGTGGTTACTGTTGCTGGGCTCTACAGTGTAGTTG